TCGCTCCATTCAGCGGTAGTTCTCACTATCAAATATGGTTTTTCTACGTTTGAGGGGTGATGTCTTGTGGTGTGTGTACCACTCACAAGCTATCGCTCCCTTCAATTGTAGTCGTTCACTCGCGACCACAGCTCCGTGCTGACCATTGTGTACAAATACAAGTGAGATATCTTAGCAATAGACGTCATCCTGGGCCACAGCTGCGATCATCTGTTTTTTAGAGCTGCTTATTTTGGTCTAAACTGCTCTTTTTTGACCTGAGTTGCATTAAATAGTCTTATACAACTTAGTAGTATTTGTGGTTCAAATGGTAAAATATATGCCCAAAAACTTGAAAAATATTAGATGATTGTTTTTTAAAAATGCTATTTAGTAAATTTCGTTTTGATTTCGACATTAGAAATATTCAGATTATAAAAGTTTTTCACATATGTTTTAAGATTTAAAAAATTTTAAAAAGTACGGTAGAATGCAACAATGTGGTTGAATTTGTTTGCATCTTCGTCAGCTTATTCGTTTGCAGACTAGAAAAATGGCGAACAGCCATCAAAATACTAATTCAAAATACACAAAAATGGGTGCGCGCAGCAAAATTCAGCCCTAATGGTAAGTTCATTTCATCGTGCGGCGACAAGTTAAGAATTTGCGATACATTTTCAGGCGAATGTATGCGAACGTTTACCGGGGGAAGAGGTATGGGACGACAGCTGGCATGGCATCCAGACGGCAATCTGGTGGCTTTAGCATTAAGTTGTAACCGCGTTAAGATATTTGACAAAGCTGAAGGCGAGCTAATACAGTGCATTCGTCGCCGGAGAATGATGTTGCATTTCACCCAAGTGGAAATTTCTTGGGGACTGGCGGCGATGACGATACAATAAGATTGCTTGAATTATTAGAAGGTCGGCCAATTTATACACGGTAGTAGGGCACTTTAGCGGAACCAGGTCAAAATGGACGGGAAAATTATACACTAACTGGCTACTAAGTTTGCGCTGTCGCTTTCTCTCCACATGGTAGACATTTTGCTTCCGCGGGCGAGAATCGACAGGTAATTTCTGCTTTGTATGTAAAAAAATTATATAATATAAATTTTTTCCTGTATTCAACAGTTGCTCGTTTGGAAATCTAATTTGCATACATTTGATGCCAATAGCGCTCGCAACAAACAAACCAGTTCTCAAAGAGTCCAAATTGATTTTAGTCATGCAACTGCTCCACATAACTCCGCCATAGACACACCAGTTGCTGGAGTACCAAAAAGCTGTGATGAAGGTATTTTAATTGATCCACGACAATCGGTGGCATATGGAATGCGTGATCGAAATTTTCTGGTGCTTGATAGCCAATATACTACAAGAGTGAAACGCTACAAGTGAAATGCTGTGATAGTAATTTTTCTTAAATTTCCATCTTTTATATGCAGTTACATTAAGAAGCTCATAGAGGACAGAGCTGTTGGTGAGGAAGGTGTCGAGTTACTGCAGTACTGCAACTGGGAAAATCCGCATTTCGCACGTGCCCCACTCGTATGGAATAGTAGCTTATGTCAAAAGGCTGGTTTTAGTATAATGCGGCATTCACAGCATACCCTCACTGGCGCCGAGCCGTTGAAGACATTTTGGCAAATAAACGTGCAAGAAATAGTTCCGATACTAGCACGTCCATATTCTTGTTAAGGGTCATCAAAAAATTCCTTATGTTGTAAATAATAAAGAGAATGCCGGATTATACTAAAGCCAGCTTCCCGACATAAACTATTCCATACGAACACAGAAATATAAATGTATCTAAAACTGAATAACTCAAATCAAATTGGATCGCATTTGCATAGTATACCTAATATTGGAATCTGTTTTGATCGTAAAAAATACAACTTGCAATCATATAGATTATAGTTTTGAATGAAATTGTGTAAAAATTGTTAATAGCAATCTGCCTTAAATTTATGTTCCCCATGTAACGGGTATAAAATACGTTAAATCCGCACTATCTGCATTAACAAAAAATATACATTGGAATATTTAAAATAAAACGATTCATATTTATTTTCTAATAAGAATTGTTTCTTAATTGAAAGTATTTAATACTAATATAATGTAGTGATTAATGTTTAAAAATGAATTCGCAATATGTCCGCAGCTCAGGTTGATTTGAAGAAATCCGTTTAAATTTTTCGAATTACATCTACTTGAATATAGGATTGGCAGGGTTGCATACAAATGGTAGTTCCGTAAATATTTAAAATATGTTAGTTCATTCAATATTTGCATCTGGGCCAATAAATAATAACAAATAAAGCCGAAAAAAACAAAGTTTCAATTAAAACGAGTTTTTATAACCCCCCATAAAATTCCGATTAATTTTAAATACAAAAATAACGATATTTTTTCATGGAGATTTATTTTTTTAATATACCTTGTTTATACCTACACAAAAACTGGATTAGCAAACAACCGATTGGACTCAACATATATTTCTTTACAGCATTTATCCCCCTGTCTTTATAGCGCACTCGATAAAGTCTTATTCAAAAGTAAACAAAATTGCTATTTTTAAACGACATTTTTTTAATAAATAATTTGCGCGGTTGACCGAAATGGAAACAAACAATAATTGTAATTTATTATAACAATAATACGAATTTAAAACGGGCTGTATAAAGAAAACCAGCCTATTGTCACTTCACTTTCCAATGGTGCTGATTGCTGCAAGAATTATTTAGCGATTTAGAGCATAATCAACACAATATATGCACATAAATATGTATTATTTCACAGATCTCAGGGTCAGCTTAGAAATACGTTACCAAAATTATATAAAATTTAAGTAGGAATTATTTTTATTTATAACGTAAAAGCGCTATCTGACCCAATCTGATAAGTATATTTCCCCTAAAGTTAACCCATTTTATTTAATTTGTCTCTCGTGAAAATATATATTTCATATTTCATATTGGCTGCCATATTGTTCACACTGTCATCGCCATATTGAACACCCTGTCAACTATCTGTCAACCCTAAGATATCTCACTTGTATTCTTCCACAATGGTGCTGACTGCCTGTTTTCTGGCTGTGCTCTATATTTTATGGTCTGTGTGCTTGATGTTGCGTGGTCGTGCAGCCACATGTTGCTGTGTGATGTTTCGTTGCCATGGTCACAAAGATGCTGTCGTGTGTTGCTACGAGTTGTGTTGCTATGAGTTGTGTTGCTTGACTGGCTGTTGTGCGGTGTCGTATTGCCGCTTAGGTTGTAGATGTTTGTGTGGGCTAAATTTCATACTGAACATTTAGTCCTCACAAGGTTTAAGACTTCAAATTAAAGATGAAAATGGAATGAAAAATGTTAACAAATGGATTCTCTGTTGCGCATTGTTGCACAATCTTATACTCCAACAAGATGATCATTTCGATTACCAACTCGAGGAATCGGAGCAGGAAATTGACGAGTCATTACCAAGTGCTCTAACTAATGGAGGAGATGCAGTGCGACGAACAATCTGTGAAATGTTAATTTTGGCAAACAATCAATAAACAAATTTGTATAGACAATTCAATTGCTTATTTATTTTATACAAATTAAATTCAAGTTCAATATACCTACATATGTATGTACATATTTATGTATGTACTTATGTACACACATTTATATTTAAGGCATTTTATTATTTTTCAGACTTTTGGTGTCATAAACAAATAAGTAGTTAAAACTAAAGCGATGTGACTAACTAATGTCGATAAAATTGAAAAAGGGTATTTAATATTAACGATTTATTCAAAGATGACTAAGTCCTACCATAAGTGTAAAGAAAAATTGCTTCAGTCCATTCCATAAGGATTTGCTGGTGCAGATTGTGACATATGAGTCGATACATAGAGATCGTCACCTGAAATGCAAAAAGAAGTGAATTTAGAATTTTCTATTAGTTATGACTTTTTTCATTTCAACGATGATGTTTGTTACGTCTTTTTGCATTTCAGGTGACGATATAAACATAAATAAATTAAATATCGCTTAACTTTCCATAGTTTTTTCTTCGCGAGATGCCCCCAAGATCTATTTTGTAAAGATTTTTATAGTTGCCAAAAGCTACTTCAAATAGACAGCAAGAAAAATAAAACACAATTTCTCAAAATAATCTTACGGTGGCATGTTTGATATGTATCGACTCATATTACGAACACATTTTTGCAACTTATTAGTTATTTGCACTTTTCAATCTTTCGTGCTCTAATCGTAATTTTTCCATTTCGATTCTCTCTTCTTTCTCCAGCTGTAGTTTCTGCAATTTAAATTGGTTTTCCTCTTTTTCTTTTTCCAATTCCAGTTTTTGTGTTTCTAGTTCCACCTTTTTCTTTTGAATTTCAAATAATAAAGCGAATGAGTTCGAGCTTTGAGGTCTCTTCAAATTTCTTTTTGGTGTGGTTGTATTGTTTAGTGTGCGAGTATCTGATGCCAAAGTACAAGGCGGACTAACTTGGTTCTCAGAAAATGTTGGAGGAAGTATAACCGACGGACTTACTAATGGACTTTCAAGTAAAGTCGTAGAAGATGTTTCACAATCAATTTCTAATAACGCCTCCTCTTCATTATTCGCCAGCGATAAGATTGGCTCTGTAGACTGGTAGATAGCTGGCGGCTGGATATTTACGCGCCGTGCAAATATTGCGTGCAGGTCATCATAAAATGGACAAGTCTTTTTGATGTATTCTTCAACACTTTTTACATCTCCACTCTCAAGCAATCCTGCTCCCGTTTGGCCTTTCCACTTGAGTGCGGTCAAAAAACTTGTTTTAAGATGCCTCATTTTTGTACGCATAGTATCCCATTTGATGTTGCGTAAATTTGGTGCACTTTCCGTAATGCGATCATAAAATTTTTGAGCAGTTGGTTTCTAAATTAAATTCATAAAATATACAACAATGTAATAATAAAAAATGTAAGAATTTTACCTCAAACTGTTCCGGATTAGCCTTCACATTGTCAAAGACAATCGTAAGTAAATCTCTAGTTTGCTGTTCTGTCCACCGAAAAGTGCCATTAATCCGTAATCGTTTTTTCTATAAATGCATGTACATAACAAATTCATTTTTAAATATTAACACAATAATATAATTGTTTGTACTCACGTCTTCCATTTTATGTTAAAAACAAAAAGCGCGCTTCTGATTAACAGCTGATATTGATTTGCGACAAATTGCCATAGATGCCACTGAAAATAAGGGATATTCGCGATCCGGTGCAAATGGCCTAGCATCATTGCATTGCAAATTTGTATTGCAAATTATTTGCAATACACAAAGAAAATACACGCATTTGCATTTGTCATGACCTGGCAAATTTGCAATACCGAAAATCCATAGCATAAAAATGCTATGCATTGCATTCATAAAGAAAACCAAAGCTGATGCACAAAAATTGTTTTGCAAAAGCTTTACCATGACAGTTTAATAAAGGTCGCTCACAATCCATGGCATATTTCTGCAATTGCATAAATTTGTCAGCTCTTATGCACCGAATCGCGAATAGCCCTATAGTCTCGCATAGTTGCCATTTTATTGCAAAACAAATTGCATGTAAAAATGAACAGCTGATTTGCGAGATTGCCATGTTGCGAAGTTTGCAACAAATGCCATAAGTTTGCGATATTAAATGAGTACCATTTATGTTTTCAGTACTATCTGAAATATAAACCTTGCAAAGCAAAGTTCCCGAAATATTTACGAAATCTTTAGGAGTATCTCATTTCTGTAACGATTTTTTACGAATCTTCAAAAAAAATTATATGAAGTGGTTGACTCTTCAAGATATTTCTGTACGAAAAATAAAGAAAATTCTGAAAAAATTCTGCAAGAAATTCTTCACATAGCAGCATTACCAAAATTGGTTATCGGGAATTTTCGGGTAGGTATTCTCCGGGATTTTTGGAGAAAGTTTTGAAATTTTGCGAGTATTTAATATTTTTAAGTTTTTTTAGAACATTTTGGGGGTTTCGGGATTATTTCCGGCACTAATTTGGGTTTTCGATATTTTTGGATCTGATTCGAGGTTGTTTTGTATAAAACGGCTAAAATTTTTAGAAGGTTTTGATTATTTCGGGACCGTTTCGGAATTTTCGGGACTAGGTCGGGATTTTTGGAACTAAAGTTAGTCTTTGGGTTTTGGTTAGCACTTTGGGGAATTTCGCGGAATTTTTTCTGAATTTTGTGGGAAACGTTTTGGGATTTTGATATTTTTCCGCACTTTTTTTTCGATATATTTGAACTTAATCGTTTTTTAGGGATTTCCCGGAATTTTTGGGGTTTCGGCTTTATTCCTGGGACTAATTCGGCATTTTCGGTACTATTTTGAGATTTTTGCGCCTGTATCGAGATTCATATTACAGCGTATAGCATTTTTAAGAGGTTTGCACGAGTTTTCATTACTTTGTTGAGTTTGTGGATTATTTCCATATTTTCGGGATTAGTTCATGATATTCAGAGCTAATATTGAATTTCAATTCGGAACTATAATTTTATACAGGGTCTAGCGTTTCAAGAGAGTTTCCAAAGATTTTGGTAGTCGGGACTAATTCGGGAGATTCGGAACTAATTCCAGATTTTCGGGACTTATTCGGGATTACTGTTGTTTACAGCCTCTAGCAGTCATAGAGGTTTCCAGAATTTTTAGGAACTTTGCGGGGCTTAGGGAATATTTCGGTGCTAATTCGGCATATTTCAAACTAATTTGAGATTTTAGGGACTATATATTATTTGCACTTTTCGTTTAATTCTCTTGTAAAAGCTCCCCACCTTCGAAATGGTGCAATGAATGTGATATTTCCAAACAGCGCAAACGACTTGTGCAGCTCTTTAGTCTATAACCATTATATGAATGTATGTATATATGTATGTGCCCTCATTTAAGTACCCTTGTTGTAATATGAGCGGCCTAAAATAAAATTCTTCAATATTTATGCGACTTACGACCAGGAAATATCAGAAGCGCAAACAACAAAAAAGCATAAAATTACACAACAACAGCAACACAACAATAAATGCCAAGTCAAACAAAAAAAAGAAAACGAATACAATCAAAACGAGAAATCTGCAAAAAATGCTAAAGAATTATTGCAAGTACATAGACCGCCGATGAAAAAAATCCTTTATTTTGTATACTTGAATAGTACAGCACAAAATTCTAAGCAAAAGCCCTGTAATAAATTGTTATGAAGATCCTTTTGTAATACCCAAACAGTACGCCTTACTACTCCTCACCACCTACTGTAGCCCACTTCGATTCTAATTTTTCTTTACTCAGCTTTTTTTGCCCGACCGCGCGCCTGCCTGTCTGTCTGTAGGCCTCTCTGCCATCGATGAAGGTCAAAAATGATAAACGGATATGAAAGTATAGCAGACGTTCGCCCCCCATTCAATCACATTCACTCCCTCAGCACTCCAGTACCCCTTCTAGCCATCTTACACAAAACAAGTAAGAAAGTCTAAGTTCGGGCGGAGCCGATCATTAAATACCCGGCGCAATTATTAAATATATGTTTTCCACCTTTCCGAAAGCTACACGCTACACGATAATCCGGGGTGTATAAATTTTAAGTAAATTAGCGTCCTTAAATTTCGAAATATTGCAGTTTCAAGCATTTCTGAAATATACCGTTATATGAAAAGCGGTCGTAATTTTAGTCCGATTTCAATAATTTTCAACGCTTTGCTTTTACGTGGCAAGCACAATAACCATACCGAGTTTGGTTCAAATTGCTAGAACGGTTAGCGAGATACATATATGTGATCATAAGTGGGCGGTGCCACGCCCATTTTCCAAAATTGTATCATAAGCGTATTTCTTGGTAAAAAATTGTAGCAACCATCAATTTTGAATAAATTAGCTTTAATATTTACTGATTTATCGTATGTTTCTAAATTACTGTTATATGGGATGTGGGCGTGGTTATTGTCCGATTTTAAAAATTTTCGGCCATTTGGTATGTTGTAGCAGGACCAACAACTGTGCCGAGTTTGGAAGAAATTGGTGCAGCGGTTACCAAGATATACACATGTAACCATAAGTAGGCGTGGCTACGCCCATTTGCCAAAATTTTTTAATATTCTTATTTTTCGTCTAAAACTCATTGTAAATATCAATTTTGAGTGAATTATCTTCAGTAGTTACTAAAATATCG